GGGTCTCCATTAGCTTACCAAAAGGTAATTGACTCTGAATCGCTCAGACTGGAGAAACAGTGGCAATCAGAATCAGACAAACTGAGATATGCTCCACAACTACTGTGACCCCATTTAAGACTTCTTAGAATCTCACCTCAGGTAATCTAATTCTTCAATTCTATCCTGTAGATATTCCTTCATTCTTATAATCTCAACAAATTCTCTTAATCTGATTTGTTCCCCAACATGCATAACATTCTATCCAGCTGTTTTACTACTCAAATTATCTTTCACAATTCTGACAATAAGGTTCACACAAGACTTTTCCTAGATGATTTCCTCACTTGTATACTGATAAGTGAAATCTGAATACTATGAATGCAAAACTCCTCACTATGTACAAATAAGTGTAGGGTCTGTAGAAGAAGAAGTTGTCGAAAAGAATACTCTTTGTTCACTCAAATGGCTTTTGATAAATAGATCTACTTAATCACCACTTGTTAGTCCATACAGAGTTATACTAGGAAGGAAATGCCTGAATTATTAATCAGGATATTATTATTATTATTATTATTATTATTATTATTTCATTATATTAGTTGTAAATACCAATCAATTTATCGTAAATTAAAGTGATTGACAGATACATGTTTCGAGTTTTCCAACCATAAATGCAGAAAAGAGATAGATGATATCAACATATGATCTGGAATTACTGTGGACAAAGTATAAGAGGTGGCTATCGTGCCCTAGTGGTTTAGTGGATAACGCTCTGGCGTCTGAAGCACGGGGTACTGAGTTCCAGCATCGATGGGAACAACACCACTCACTGGGATGCACATACATCCAGTTGAGTCCAAAATAGGACAAAACGCACATTCTGGATCTCTCTTCTAGTCACCAAGATCAATATAACATCATGAATATTCGATAGTATCGAGATAATTGTATAGGAGCCCATCTACCTATGGCAGAGGTTGAACAATTCGGCCCTGTATATGAACAGGAATTTACAAGTATCATAACAAAAACTACAAATTGTTTTAAAACAGCTGTAGCGAAAAGCTCGTGAAATATGTTTTTATTTGAACTAATGAATATGAAGTATTCTCATACTGCCAACTGGTGTCACTCCACGTTGAATACTATCCTCAAACTACATTGCTGAATAGTGCTTATTAGTGGTATACTTTGAGATGGATATCCAGAAGTTTCAATAAGAAGTTATGACCTGTGGTGTCAGCCAGTTGGCAATGAAGTGAGAGAAGTAGGAAACTGCTGACCGTTGAGCTACAACCCAATGGTTGAATGAACGGTTAGAGAGGTGGCCGTGAAACCTGAAGGTCCAGAGTTTGATCCCTAGCCGGGTTGTGGGTACGTACTATTAAGGAATCCTATACTACGATGAAACAGTTATCCACTGCTCTCACGTTTCCAAGGATTATCCAAACATTGTCAGTCCGTAATAAATTATTATTTTATTATTATTTGTCCCTTGGGTTCCTAGTAAGGTATAGGGCTTCTGTTGCACGTCGCCATTTCACTCTCTTCTCTCCAGTCTTTTCAACCTGGCTCCACGACTGCCGAGAAGCTTTCATTTCTTCCCTACACCACCTTATCCGTCTCACCCTCGCCTCAGACGCCCAACTCGTCCTTTCCTATTTGAATTCCACTCGAGGGCCTGGCCTGACACATCATGTCCCCAAACCGTCTTCTCAGTATATGTCCAATCCAATCCATCTCCACTTTCTTCTACTGCATATTTGTTGGGTGATAGGGTCTTGGTCGGTTGGGTTCGTTGCTAGATTGAGTTCCTTATTGCTCATTCCTTCTCACCATCTGACCTCATCTGATCTTCAATACCGTGCCAGCGTAGGCAGCTGTTGGTTGATGTATGTCTGTAGTTTGTTGGAAATGTTTTCCGTAATGCGCCAAGTCTCAGCCATCACATAGAAGCTGACTTGACTGAATTAGTGTTGAAAATTTGGATGTTGTTCACTCGTTATGCTGAGTGCAGTGCAGTAGATCTGCATACTAATTTCAGATTAATGAAGGTCCTTCTTGGTTTTCCGATCTCGGCTTTGACATCCTCATCTGTGCCGCGTGTAGTTGAAACGATGCTGCTTTGCGTAGGTAGATGAAACAGACAACTTCCTTTAAATTTCTCCCGTTGATGGTGATTGGTGTTCATTGTCGTTGTTGTTGTTGTTGGTTGGGTATCTTCATCACCTCTGTCTTGTCTACGTTCACCTGAAGTGCCGTCTTCGCTGCCTGATCTCTTCTGTCAACTTGTCAGTTTTCGCTTGTAGATCTTCGAGTTTGTGCGACAAGACATCAGATATGAATCATGGTCAGTGAAATGCAAATCTGCTAGGGTCTTTTCATCGGTCCAACCATCCAGCGTATATCCCTGTTCTGGCTCCTCACAATTTGTTGCATGATTCAGTCCAGTCGAGTCCACGACAATCAAGAAGACCTAAGCAAAAAAGGAATACTTCGATCTAAAGTTGAACTAGTTTCCTTTTTAAATAATCTTCAATTCAAGGTGATGTTGATGTTCAAAGACTATGAGTTGGATATATGCTGATCAGCATAGTGTCTCGTTCTGTGAAGGAATCTTATTGGATTATCATATGACTCATTTCACCTCCTTATTTCTTCTTGATTATATGCTCTCATAACTACGATTATCTATGAGTTGCTAATTTGCTAAATTGTATACAGAAGTTACTATTGTCCTGAATAGTATCACTTGGAATTACACCGTTTAATGTAAGCATAAAGAGGAATTGAATACAGTTGTGGAGTTAAATGTAAATAAACTTTCTTGTAATCTTATACTTTATGTGTCTTACAGACGTCTGTAAATATTATGGTGACAGTAATTAATACAGGGATAGAGTTGGGTGTTCACTGCATTGTCCTCACTTGAGACCATCATACTGTTCGTCGATAGAAGAACTGTCTGCCAACATGGAAGAATCACTGCCGGTAAACTAGGTATTTAGTTACGCACAAAATGACTATTCTTCAAGTCAGGTTTCACATAAGCTTGAAGAAGTGATATACTGATCTTGATTACTTCACCACAGTAAACATTGAGGTTATTAAGTTCACAGTTTACTCCACCATTACTCGATGAATTGTTGTATTTGTACTTTTAACGTGTTAGAAGTAGCCTTTAACGCTATACAGTGAGATGAAGAATAGTTGGATTGGGTTAGTATATTATAGCTTATAGTTCCCCGTGCACTGAATGAACCGAACTTATCCGCCACTATTGATATATGGGCTACTAAACATGAACATATGCCAATAGTTGTCGATTAATTTAGTCTAATCAACAGCAGGAAACTGAAAGTTACAACACAAAACTATACCCGTAGGATAAGGTGTGATGATCATAATTTAGCAGTCGATTACATAATGATCTGGCGTTTAGAGTAATGGTTATTACTTTCAAGTCTTAGTGGGAGCAACACTCACTGAGTGGCATGTGCATTCAAATGATGACACCCAAACATCACAAAACGTGCATTCTACATCCTATTGCTGGCTGATATCTATCATTATTACCACTAGTGATTATATTGCAGTTTTCTAGTGTTCACTATTTGTTTGTGGTAATGTAAATGTCATGAAGGCTTGTTTTGTACGTTTTTTTTATAAAGCCCACCGCCTGTTCATTCTTTTTTCTGATAAACATAATAAAACGTAAGTAATGAAATATGCTGTACTACACTGAAAAATGGGAACTGATACAAGTCAACCAGCTGCCTAGTACTTTTGATTTAGCCAGATAAGCCTCAAATTTTGCTAAACTAAAACCGAAATAAGACGATCAATTTGCAAATAATTTATAAAATGATAATCCGATTGTAGGTAAACTGGCCCATACAAGTAAACCAACCAGACAGATGAAGGTAAGCTGAAAATCTGTCCAGATACGCCACTGATGTACTTTGCCCAAAACGAACTAGACGACAATTCGGCGTTTAGATAAGTCTGATCTCACTGAGAAATATACAGATCAGTCTGTGTGGTTTCAAACGACTCAAGCTGTTTCATAATAGTAGTGTGACCAGTAATGGTAATAATAGTAGTAGTGTGAGTGGTAGGAGTAGTAGCAGTAGTAGTGTGAGTAGTAGTAGTAGTGTGAGTAGTAGTAGTAGTGTGAGTAGTAGTAGTAGTGTGAGTAGTAGTAGTAGTAGTGGTAGTGGTAGTAGTAGTAGCAGTAGTAGTGTGAGTAGTAGTGTGAGTAGCAGTAGTAGTGTGAGTAGTAGTAGTAGTAGTAGTGTGAGTAGTAGTAGTAGTAGTGTGAGTAGTAGTGTGAGTAGTAGTAGTAGTAGCAGTAGTAGTGTGAGTAGTAGTAGTAGTAGTGGTAGTGGTAGTAGTAGCAGTAGTAGTGTGAGTAGTAGTGTGAGTAGCAGTAGTAGTGTGAGTAGTAGTGTGAGTAGCAGTAGTAGTGTGAGTAGTAGTAGTAGTAGTGTGAGTAGTATTAGTAGTGTGAGTAGTAGTGTGAATAGTAGTAGTAGTAGTAGTAGTAGTAGTAGTAGTAGTAGTAGTAGTAGTAGTAGTAGTAGTAGTAGTAGTAGTAGTAGTAGTAGTAGTAGTAGTAGTAGTAGTAGTAGTAGTAGTAGTAGTAGTAGTAGTAATCTATATACTCCCTTTATTCAGTATATTCTTGCTATAAGCCAGCTGAAATTCACACTTAACTTGTTCAATGTACAATTTTCTCGTTGATTCAAGTGTTCAAATTAACGATATTTTAGAATTGAAAAATTTTTCAAGTATTAGAAAATTGTTTACATGTTTATTTATGCTTAAATATACACGGCACTACTTAAATTCTTTCCAGTATAAAAAAAAGGAAGAAAGGAAGCAGTTAATAAGAGTATAAAAATGAAATTATGTAAAGTAAAAACAACCGAAAGAAAGAGAGAAAAAAAAATGTAAATCTTAATTTGTGTTATTATTATTATTATTATTATTATTATTATTATTATTATTAACTCATAGTAGTTGTTCTATCTATTGAGTGAATAAGAAAATGTTTAATAGAAGAATAGTATACAAAAGGAAAGACAATGGAATCGAAAGTTTTTAGTCTAAATATGGTCTCCAAACATTTTTTTTATCAAGTGAATACATTTCTTCATGTTTATCAATCTGATTTAATTTTTTAAATGATAAATCAATTACTTGTTCATCATTTCCACTTTGAGATTGTTTAACATCATATTGATGATGATATTGTATCATTTTTTTTGGTATCTTTATTATTTGTGATTGTATATAAGTTGTTGTTTGTGATGATTGTAATAAATCTATTGTTGTATTTTCAATATCTTCAAATCCACTGTCTATAGACTGTCCAGAAGGAGTAATTTGTATTGATCTGATTTCAGTATCTGTTCTAGTTATTGGTCTTTTTATTGTTGTATTCAGTGTTGAATGAAATCTTTTAGGGAAATGATGATGAATAGGACAATTATTGAATAGTCTTGAAGAGGTAATTTCATTCGAATTAAGAGTTTTCAATACATTCTGTTGTCTTTGATAACAATGATTGTGTGAATTGGTTTCAATATGATGATTCAATGGGATTGAACTGTTTATACTCTTTTTCATATTGTTACCTTCATCAATACTGTTTTCTTTGAGTGAATTAGATTGATTTGAATATAATTTATCATGAAATTCATTACGTAACTGATTTACACGTTCACGTATATCTGAAAGGTAAAAGAAAAAAAAGAGAGTAGAACAAAAATTCATAACGTTTTTAAGGTTGTATTGATTATGGAGTGAAATCAGTCGGTGAATTATTCAAAACCTGGGATCATTGATCAATTGTTTCATCCTAGTATGCGACTACTCAACAGTGAGCACCTACCACCTCATGAAACATCAAACTTCGGACCTCCAGGTTTTTAGGAGAACGCGTTAACCACTTGTTCAACCAATGGGTCACAGTTCAATGGTGCGTCTATGATCCATGGTCTTCAGATTGCATTCAGATCACTCTTGATTGGCTAACCCTACAGGTCATTACTTTTTGTTGAAATTTCCGGATCTCTATCTCAAAGAATATCACTAATGATCACTATACAGTAAGTTTACTAGTGTATCAGAAAATATTCACCAAATGGCATCATTCACTATTCATTTAAGTTTTATCAAGTGTTTTCTAAAGTAACTTCTCTATACCAACTAAGCTGGTTGAAGTGAAGTGTAGAGTTACGAAGTTATACTTACTATAGATAGTAAGGAAGTAAGCGTTCGACACCAATGTCAAATAATTAACCAATTTGGAATCAATAAATCCCTTCAAACTCCAAACCGAATTACTCTGCAGTGCTCATTAGTGGCCTACTTCAAGATGAGATTTTTAGAAGTTCCACGAAGAAGTCGTGAGCGATGGCGTAAACCAAGCTGGATATGAAGACAGGTACTCAACCACAGCATTAGATGGAGATCACATTATGTCCAGAACCGATAGAAGTAAGAAAATATGAACCACTGGGTTCCGAACCAGTGGTTCATTGGTAATGTATTCGCCCCGAAGCTTAAGTATACTGGGTTCGATCTCTGGCCGACGAGGTAATGGGTGTACACCCCTGAGAAGTCTCAAACTAGAATGAAACAGCCATCCAGTGTCCACAGGTTTTTCACTGGTTCTCCAACTGATATTAGTTCGTGATCAATGACAAGTTGAAATCACAAAATCCTCCACAAAGCTCTAGACTGAATATAATTTGACCGAAGAATGGGTACTTGAAGAGTAAGTTAGCTGTTTAGTAGTTCGTAAGCTGTGAGCCAGTGATAAAGCTGGTCATGATATATTTTTCTATTTGATTAGCATATTAATTACTGCACTATATCAACACCCATATTCATGGTTGTTAAAGTGCCTTCCTAATGAAAACGTAAATGAACAGTATAACCCAACTGCTACTGAGATTCCCATCATATTATATTTAAGTAGACGATACTAGACTTCATTATTACTTTGTAAATTATTTATTTGAATGGATCCAATAGGCTTTCTCAATCACTGTAGATAATAGTTAGTAGAGTTTTTCTCTAGTAAACTCGAGTATATTTCAGTAACCGTTTCATTTTTAATAACGGCCACAGACAAACACCCAGAGCGATGAAGTTTGCATCATCCCTCCTTGCTAGGGAACGGGTCTTCGAAGAGATACACCGATCGACTTCTGAACCTGATCAGTTGTCCGCTAACCACACAGATAATAAGAGATGAAATGTTTGGGTGTCACTGTTTAACCATGGTGGGAGGAGAGCCTGTATTAGCTGAGGTAAGTGGTGGGTTTGGCTGGCCATTGGTTGATTAATAGACGCTGGGTACTCGATGCCCTCCCAGCTAAGGACGTAAAGGTAGTTTCCCAGAAAATTCGTATCTTCTGCGTTAGCAGGAGTGCATGGCCTGTTGTGTAAATCATTTTCAAGACCTATAAAATCAAAATAACTGTTTGGTTTTTAATAATGACTGATCATAAGTTTTATTTACTCTTTTTAATAGCAATTCGTTTTGTAAAAGCTTATATCAGTTTGCAGGTTTGTGGGGATTAATTAATTCCAGGTTGGTATTCATCATGGACTGATATCAGTTGGAGGAACATTGGAAACTTGTGTGCACTAAACAGCTGTTTCATCTGATAATATGACTTCTCAGGGGTGCGCACCCGTGACCTTAACACACTAGAGGTCGAACCCAGGATTTTCAGGTTCCGTGGCCACCACGTTACCACTGAGCCTACTTTTGCCAGTTCACAATATAGCGTGACCTCCGTCCAATGCCAACGTTGAGTAACTGTTCTCATGTTCGACTTGGTTGACTACATTGGTCACGACTTCTCACTGGAACTTCAGGAATCACCTGTCGAGGCTAGTCAGCAATGAAAACTAGACTAATTCTATGTGGAGGTTTGTGTGGATTCTGGCCCATTAGCTCAGCGGTAACCAGCTGGCTGTGAGACGTGAGGGTCCTGGGTGCGCACTACTGAAGAGTCCAATACTAGGACGAAACAACTGTCCAGTGCTCTCAGGTTTCCAATGTTCCTCCAACTAATGTCATTCCATGATAAATACGAACCTAAAAGCTTATGCGTAAAGATCACTTCACTTCCTTCGACATCTATAGTATTTTCATGGTCATCAGTAGACCAGCCGTTCAAGAGCATTTAATAAATATATCTTGCTAATATCTTCGATACTAAGTGACTGCTTGTTTACTATCCATTAAATGTTAACTCCTGATTAGGAATTATTCTAACGTATTCAGCCTTTTCCTGCAAATGTTCACAAATGTATATCGAAGAGAATGATTTCGTTGTAACAAGTCTTTTTTAATCGCAAGCGTCTTCATTCTTTCTTTCTTTCTATGAATAATGAGATCTTTTTATCATGATGTAAAAATTGTGCTGGCTCTTTCTCAATTAATATGGATAAATTATGTAATATTATAAACTAAGGAGATTCTGTACCTATCTAATAGGTGGGATAACTTAATAGTTATGAATAGATTTCTGCACTAACCAATTTGTGTGGAGAATGGGATATTTGATACCCGGTTGCGAAAACCTTAGGAGATGAAGTGAAGTTCAAGTTAGTGATCCAAAGAGTCAATTCAATGCTTTGTAATCCCCTATATAATGAAGTTACTAAGGATTTTATTATAAATATTTCTGAATGACTTTACAGGCCACTCCAGCAAATAATGAAATAACCAATCAGATTTCGGTATTTTTTCATAAATAAAGAAATGCAATTGGTTATCTCAGTAGCTGTTACAGTGGCATTTAAAGATACTCATATTTCTTATAGTAACTATCTGAAATCAAATCAGTGAAAGAAGAGGAATGAAATAATTTTGTTTCATTGAAAAAAATTGCTGATGAATGCCAACAAGCATGAAACTTAGATCAAGTAAGTCTTCTTGTCAATCACCTCCAGCCAACTAAATTCAGTTTCGTTAACATGTTGGTCATAAATCCCTAAACTACACACACATATACACACACACACACAACCCCAGAAATGACTTAATTCGTAATATTGAGACAGGGTGAAAGTATACATTATGCTTTGGCATATATCAGCTACAAACAGGACCCGAGGGTAATGACTGCTGTTATTAATACTTCAATAAATTCAAGGTTATAAATCGACTGTTTTATACCTTTATTTGTATACACACACACACACACACTTAGTAGTGAGTATTTCAAGAGTCAACTTGTATAAAAGAGTCTGGCACGGAAGGCATATTTATATATTAATCCCCCACCATTTAGTATATTTTCTGTTATAAATCACTTGGATAGATGGGTACTGATTAGACATGTATTTATTACTCTAAGGTATAATAAATTTTACATATTAATTGTACACCATAAGCGGTAGACTGTAATCAGTATACGTGCTTACTTTGAGTCGAAAGTTACAGTACAAATAAACCAAATAGTTCAAATGGGACAGTTCCATCTATATTTCAGAAAAGTGACATTACTGGTTTTGATGTTATGAATCTCCGTCATTAATTTGTCCAAAGTGATGAGACACTATTGGTCTATAGGTTCCTGTGTGTGAATCCATCCGCACTGACGATATTTCCAACTCTGACACATGATAATGATGGCATAATTATTGAAACTAAACTACATCTGTTGCACAAGGAGTGGCTATCATGACTTAGTGGTTTAATGTGTAACACTGTGGCATTTGAAGAGGTTGGTCCTAGGTTCGAGTCCTGATGGGAATAACACTTACTGGGAGGGAGGTACATCCAGCTGACGAGTCTTAAGTAGGATAAAACACGAGTTCTACATTCCCTTTATTACTCACTATCCCTCATCAGTATGAGAATGTTATTACTATCACCATGGAAAGACTCTATTGAAAACAATATCCAATTAAATGTTCCATTTTTAGCAGATTATAACAGCGCTGAAGCTCCAGAATATATTTCTTATTATGTGATCGGATATATATCAAGACAGTCTTAACCACGGACAACTGGAACTGAACGAGCCAAAATCCACTCAGCAACCTTGTGCACATTCGTTCAGTAGGCACTGAGCTACACCTATTATATAAGGGTTAATGATGCTACTTTGCTGACTAAATCTTGGTAGATGGGGTGGTGTTGGAACCCGTGCCCTACTGATTGAAAGTCAATTCCTTAAATCAATGAGTCACAATCCCACTGGATAGTTGGGACTCCTCAACGTGGGATGCAACAGCAGTCCAATACTCCCAGGTTTTTCATGGTTCTGTAACTGACGTCAGTTTGTGATAAATACTACCTTAAAATAAAGTCCCCATAAGCTTCAAACTACATTATTAACTTTATCAAAGTTATAGTGAACCGGAATATACAACAAACAAACTAATATATCACTTTGGCTATCTGAGATAGCCACAGTTTGGCAGATTAGTATTTCTACTTTGGTGATGATTGAAGGTAATTAAAAATTTGGACTGTGGCAGGATTCCAACCAGCAACCACCGGGTTTCCAGCCAGATGGTTTACCAACTGAGCTATGAGGTCCGACTGCTGACCAGATTTTCATTTCACCTTAAATCATCGCCCAGTATCAATACTAGTCTGTCAAACTACGGCTATCTCAGATCATCAGAATGATAATGAATATGATGCTCCCCTCTCTTCATTTCGGTTAGATTAGGGTCGAGATGAGAACTCGTGACT